AGTAACACACTACGCCGCCAGGGACTCAAATCCTGCAGTGCCAGACGTGTCCCCCTGCTTAAGCCAGTACATGTCCAGGCCCGTCTGAAGTTTGCTAGAGAGCATTTAGATGATCCAGAAAAGGATTTGGAGAATGTCATATGGTCAGATGAAACCAAAATAGAACTTTTGGGTAAAAACTCAACTAGACGTGTTTGGAGGAGAAAGAATGCTGAGTTGCATCCAAAGAACACCATACCTACTGTGAAACATGGGGGTGGAAACATCATGCTTTGGGGCTGTTTTTCTGCAAAGGGACCAGGACGACTGATCCGTGTAAAGGAAAGAATGAATGAGGCCATGTATCGTGAGATTTTGAGTGACAACCTCCTTCCATCAGCAAGGGCATTGAAGATGAAACGTGGCTGGGTCTTTCAGCATGATAATGATCCCAAACACACCGCCCGGGCAACGAAGGAGTGGCTTCGTAAGAAGCATTTCAAGATCCTGGAGTGGCCTAGCCAGTCTCCAGATCTGAAACCCATAGAAAATCTTTGGAGGGAGTTGAAAGTCTGTGTTGCCCAGCGACAGCCCCAAAACATCACTGCTCTAGAGGAGATCTGCATGGAGGAATGGGCCAAAATACCAGCAACAGTGTTTGAAAACCTTGTGAAGACTTACAGAAAACGTTTGACCTCTGTCATTGCCAACAAAGGGTATATAACAAAGTATTGAGATGAACTTTTGTTATTGACCAAATGTTTATTTTCCACCATCATTTACAAATAAATTCTTTAAAAATCAGACAGTGATTTTCTGGATTTTTTTTTTTCTCATTTTGTCTTTCATAGTTGAGGTATACCTATGATGAAAATTACAGGCCTCATCTTTTTAAGTGGGAGAACTTGCACAATTGGTGGCTGACTAAATACTTTTTTGCCCCATTGTATATATATATATAGAAAACTGAGAAAAGCTTCATATTTGAGAAGAGCACTCCTGGCATGATTTATGAATTATCTAAATATTTGTCGATTAAGTTAATTGATCAACCATCAGCCACTTTGGTTTACTTACTGAATTTGTGAATCAAAAAGACAATTTTAAAAGAGAAATCTAAACCACATTCAGGTGGATTTTTTTAAGTAAAAATGTACACCTTACCTTACAGTCTTAGTGGTTTCTTTATACCACAACATTTGAACATCTACTATTCTATAACAACTGGGCAGAAGCTGATATGTGTGGCTGCTTTGTCTAAATCTGAAAAATTAACCCTTTATACTGATAACATATCATTATGAATATAAAGGTGAGTTTCGGATGGCCATAATGCAAGTTAGTACTGTTAGCTCTTTCTACGGTTTGAGGACAGAGAAGACAAGTGCCATGCCAAAGACCACAAAGTTTCACAGCATCATACAACTACGTTTAATAAGATTTGCTTATTAGTACAGAAAAAAGGAAAAATTAAGGTGGGAAATACAAACTCTGAAGCAGTAGTAAGCATTAGCAGCATTAAGCTCCATGTTTTCAAATCACAGTTATACTGCAAAAAGTTCAGACCAAATCAACAATCTCAAAAGCCTCGCCAAGATAGAACCAGTGTCCAAGCACAGATGTCTTATAAAAAAACACATTTTAAAAGTAGTGGGATGTTTGTGGGGAAGAAAGCACTTTTTTTTTTTTCATCTATTTTGAGATCACAACATGACGAGACCGACAGTGTTTACCTACCCAGAGAACGCCCGTGAAGCAGAAGTGAATATACAGTACGCTACCCAAGTCTAGTTACATGAAATACATACGTATATCTATAGAGAAGAATATTTAAAATCACCCAACTCGTGGTCTATTTCATTTGCACACACACTTAAATAAAAGGCCAGGACAAAGAGATGGATACATACTTGGTGGTGGTGAATAATACAGAGCCCAGGGGGAGAGAGAAGTGAAAAACATGGGGTGGGGGTGCTTGGTTTTAGCTTCAGCTGCATACACTGGTAGAAAAGGCCAGCCAGAAATAACATTCTCACATTTGCACTGAAGTCTCTTTTTTGAGGACATGAAAGAAAGTAAAAAAAAACATGTTTGACATTTTGGGATTTACCTTTGTTTGAAGTCTTATGAAGCTTTAGCCTGATGTTCGTTAGCTTAGCCTAGCATGTAGATTGTTGAAACTATCCTGCCTTTGTTAAAAGCTTACGCAAATTATAGCTTATTTGATACATTCATACGAAACAACGCTTTTTTTCATTTAAAATTATACATTAGTTTATTTTGAAGCACTTCACTGCTTCCAAACAAGAATAGCTTTGGAGGTGCTGTTAAGCACATTATTGGCCTCCAGTACCTATGCTATGCTAGCTCACTTAGCTAATAAATCCTTCTATACCTATAAAACAAGGCTTTAGGATGTCAAAACATGTAATCTGTGCTCAAACAACAATAAGTACAACATGTAAAACGTTTACACTTAACTATGAGCTATAGTTTTTCTTTTTTGGGGGGGATTTAGCAGAGTGCTAATGCTAGGCTAAGCTAAAAATGTGCAGCTCTTTATGTATCGTAGGCCCAGGTGTCCGTTTTCAACTCTTTATCTTGGCAAGAAGACAAATTAACTCACAAAAAGGTCAAACTATTGTTTTTTAAAGAGAGCAAAAGTTAATTTTGAAATTTTAAATACAAAGTAGACCGCCATAATCAAAAGTTGGGTAAGACAAAAACACTTAAGACCAATCTCTCCAATGAATAATTAAGATTCTACAGTTACACATGCCTTTCCCAAACATTTGTATATTACACAATGAATCTCTACATTTACATTCATACTTAAATACAATCACACCAGTGCACAATGCAGGGACTGAACCAACTACTAAGAAGAGAATATTTCATATGTGAGGAAATGTTGCCCTCCACTGCACGAAGTGAGGAGGAGTTATTGTAGTTAGTGGTAATAGTTGCAGCAGCAGCAGTAGTAATTGTAATAGTTGTAGTAGTAGTAGTAGTAGTAGTAGTAGTAGTAGTTTGGGAATAGCAGAAGCAATGTCAATTGTCAGTGTTGTTGCCCATCTTCCACAATTACATCACAACATACTGCATGTATGCTCCATTCTGCCATTTTTATTTTATTGCCCATTCATTTGTATACATTGCAAATCACTTAAACATCACCAACCACCAGTCTGCTGTTTGTGAAGAGTTTCTTTTTCTTTTCTCCATGGATCAGTTTCACACTAATGTAAGCAACATCAGTGAGTTAACACATAAAGCTTAGCATTTCAAGAATCGAGACACTTTAGTAACAATATTACAAACTTTTTTTTCAGCTTTAAAAAAATGAAAAAGGTGAACAAACGAAAAAATAAACTTTTAAAGAATTAGCATCATAAAATTAATTTATTCCAAGTAAAAATACAAAATAATATTAATGATATTGACCAGATATGAAAGTCTCCCCCAGAAATAATGGTTGAGAAATAAGTCTGTAAAGAAAGCAATACGAAATAAAAAGGAAAATATGTAAATATGTTTAAATTCTTTTCTTTTTTAGCAAAAACTTTCTAAAAATAATGAAAATTTCTCAGTACAAAGGCTACATTACTACTGGAAGGTACTAGCAGGTAGAGTAGGTAAATACACAGTAGAAAATGATTTTAGTGAATCACAATGCTTGCAATGAAAATAATTCTGCAATAAAGATTTATGCCTCTTTTTCTTGTTTTCTTCTTTTCTACAAACAGTACAAACAGTATTGCACATTACAACAAAGAATCAAGTTTCTTAGCCTTAAAATGGGATTAATTCAAGTCTTGCGTGAATAGAAGGCCACCAGTCAATTGATGCACCTCGGGGGCTTTCGATCAAGTTACAGGTGAAAACACGTGTGTCTGTCTGTGTTTAAAAATAACATTCTCGCCTCTCTACCTCCAGCTGTGTGACTCTCACAAGTCTCTTTTTATTTTTCTCCCAACGACGTTAGGCTACCTAATCAGCGTCACGTTGCTTTTTTACAAAACAAAAGGGAGCACATACTTTTAGGAAACATAAAAAACTTCTCTTAAAAAAATAATGAACAGAAGATCTCTTTCACAACTCTGGTCAGCATAGTAAATGATTGATTATAAATATACAAAAACGTGGGAAACATGTTCAGTTTTATCTCTGAGCACCTGATAGTTTATTTTCTTTCCTAAAGAGCTTATCTCTGATGTTTCGACCAATTCGACCAGTGGGACACTCACGCTCACTGCACTCTCACGTACTACATTATTATATTAGTTATAAAGCTCTAGCTCCTTCAGTTGTTGTCTTTTCAAAAAAATAAATTCTTAAAATAAAAGCAAATAAGCATGATAAAATAAAATAAAAATCAACCATCTGTTAAATCATTGTCTCTTGAAGAATTAAATTAATATATATTTTTTCATCTGAATAAACTTACTTAGAAAATATCAGTTTCTCTCCTAATATATTTCAAAATTGAGGTATTGCAAAAGATCTTGTCAGTCAGAAAGCACGCTTTATCATCTTCTTTTTTTTGTCTCTTAACAAAAAGAACTGCTGACCGTTCAAAACTGTTCCGATACAAAGAGTAGTGCATAACAAATATCTATCATAGAGAAGGAACAAACATAGAAAACCTGTCTGGGTGGGGAAAGAAATATCACAAAAACACCCAGAATTCACTTTCATAGGGATACTTATTATTACTCGTGGTTAGCCTCTTCTTTTTTAAGTCTTTTTTTATATCAGTAAAAAAAGTATCTTCTGCTTTGTTTCAATAAGTTTGCTTAGACAACAAAAACCTCTTTCCTAAAGCAAAAAAAACAAAACAGTTTGCGACTGAAACGAGAAAGAGGAAAGGGACTACGGGCCGCCAACACAGGACAATCACAACTCACGGACAAAAAGAAGGGACGACACATTTACTTGCAAGGATGTAAGATCCCGTTCGGATTGTCCAAAAAACGGCTAAAACCAGTGTAGCTTGGCCCCCCCTCAGCCCCTAACCCTGAAAAGGAGCCGCCTTTTCTTCGGCAGCCCACGCCCACCCCTCCATCTTGTTTGAACTGCGAACCATAACCTTTTAATTTAAACTAAGAGAAATATATGTCCACCTTTAAGCAGGTCCATTACTTCAAGCTTTGCAGGAAAAAAAAAATCTGGATAAATATGGTTGCACATCGGCACGTTTTAACAATAGAGTGGTGCAGGGATAACGTATTTCTGTAAGCCAACCCGGAAGTTAGCATCGCCCTGGTTCCCTTGGGAAAAATCAAAGGGATCTTCAAATAGGATTTTGGATAACTGTAGAATATATCAGCTCAAACAAACGGGATCGGGAGAATCAAACAAATGAAGATAGATGTAAAAGGTTAGTCACAACTTCAAGGTCACCACCGTTGAGCTAACCGCCATTAGCAACCACCTTTTTTAAGATGCGTTAAACCTTCAAAGTGAGTGGGGTATATCCGGATGTATTTTATGTTGTTTAACTTAACTTTTAAGCCTCTTTAGCTTGTGTCAACCACATACCTGATTTCAGGCGTCTAACAAAACCTATTAAAACAACCCATTGACTTAGAGAAAAGGGAACCGGCAAAAGGGCGAAATGCTGACTAATCTCCGGGTGTTTTAGGATTCCTGCAGCACTCTATTATTCCCCTGTACCCTCCCCAGCAATATGGTGAGAGCCTGTGCATAGCTCAGTTTATCAGCCTCAAGTCTCCAGTAGCTTAATGTTTGATTGTTAACCCCCCCCCCAATTCTTCTTCCAACTGCCCTCTTTCCTCATTTAATCGACTGCCTCTTCAGCCATTACGAGCTGCAGTTGGCTCTGCGTGTTAGGCGTCCGTTAAAAACACGTGAGCTCTTTGGTTGCGTTCCGAGACATTAACGTGGGTTGTTTTTTGTGTTGACGACGGAACAAATCAAAGAAAGATCTCAGTTCTCAGTTTAAGCTCACATTGTCTTCTCTTCAGATCAGACTGTGGAATCATAGGCCTGTATGTGTGCGTAAGAAAGACAGCCGTCCATGTGGGTGTGTGTGTGTGTGTGTGTGTGTGTGTGTGTGTGTGTGTGTGTGTGTGTGTGTGTGTGTGTGTGTGTGTGTGTGTATTTATGTATTTATGCGTGTCGAGAGGCTTCCATGTATACTGGTGCAAGTGTGTGTACAAGAGAACATATATACGTGTGCATACACTAGTTATGAAGTTTCACAGGACTTCTATGTCGGACATTGACGACAGTTAAAGCGAATCACAGTTCTAGGCATACTCAGACCTAACTACATACGGTATAAAAAATTGCACAATTATATCAACAATCACTGCAAAAAGTTACTTCACCTATCATAGACAGTTTTAAATGGTAATCCTACATTTAATTTGATTTGTGATTATTAAGGTTGTTTTTTTTTGCCTCCCTGTCATCTGGATGTGTTCACTGCCTGTTCGTAAAGGCGCTTTCTTCCGTTAGAACGTTTAGCGACGCAGAGTCGTCATGACTCCTCCAATCACGACTTCCTGACTTTCTGTCCAGATTCCTGCGGTTTGAATGTACGCCTATAGTGTGTTGTGCAAACATGGGCAGAATCGAATAGTAGACATGATACTGAAAAGTCTATTGCATGCAGCAACCTGATTGAAATAAACATGCAGTTAGGGGCGACCCACCCCCGACCTCCCCACAAAGGTAACCATCGTTTCACAGGGGCCCCCCCTCCCCCGTTGACAGCTCGTCATTTTACAACACCAGGATCTTCTCTTGATCTCATTATTTTAGCCTGAATAAAGTACTTATGGTATCCGTTTATACCATGGATTTAGCAGCAAAGCTATTGCAGCATACATTTACATAACACTAAAAAATTATGTTATTATAAAAATAAAGACCTAGAAATCAAAAGCAAACTAATCTGATTGCGCATATGAGGTATTACTATTCTCAGAGTCAAAATTGATTGCGAATATAGCCGTGTTATTTTTACTCAGGGCGATACGGACCCACACTACTGGATAGCTGCTTTGCTACATCTTATGCCACCTTTTCAGCTTTTCTGTATGCATTCATTTCATTTGCCTTTGGTAATTTTTTTTTAAGTAGGGGCAATATAACTACAGCTTTTCAAAATAAGTGCATGCTCCTTTTACATACAATTTAAATTATCTATATATGTATAGATAGGTACAAAACAAAAAATATATACTTTTTTAAATATTTGTAAGGTCTACCTCACGTCTCGGTGAGGAAGACGTACCACACCAACTGCTCAAAACAGCGGGCAACTGAAAGTAGCCAGGTGTCTAACGTACCATCCTGTGTGTGTGTGTGTGTGTGTGTGTGTGTGTGTGTGTGTGTGTGTGTGTGTGTGTGTAGTGAGATTTTGTGCAAGTGCAATTCTAAGTTGATAGACTTTCGCATTTCATTCCCCAACAATGCTTCATCGGAGGGGTAGACAATGAGTTCGAAGCCGTGTGGTATGAAGACAGTCCCATGGTTTAGACGGTATCCGTTTACTTTTTTCATGTTTGTGGGGAGTGGGGTGGGGCTGTGTGTGTGTGTGTGTGTGTGTGTGTGTGTGTGTGTGTGTGTGTGTGTGTGTGTGTGTGTATGGGGGGTGTTGCAGCGCTGCCTGTCGGGGTTGAGTGTGGGTTCACCCGGGCAGGGCTGACTGGTATACCCCCCCTCAGCTCCAGCGGAAGGACACGTGTCGGGGGCGGTCGCCTCCTTCCTTCACCAGTGGCTTGTGAAACTCTCGTCCGGCTCGTGAGTGGATGCTGGCCCAGCAGTACTCGCAGTAGTACTGCAGGCAAGTGACGTTGGCACAGAAGAAGGGGGCGAACTTCCCCCCACAGCGAGCCCCCTGGCACTCATCACACATCTGGTCGTCCAAGACGTACGGCTTCACCTCCACCTGGAAAGAAGGAGGATGAGAGGTGGTGCTTAGTTTAATCTCATACACAGATGTGAAGTCCAGCACAGTTAGTCATCCTGTTTTTTAAATGTGGATTCCCATATGCCCTCTGGATTACTACTTTTTTTAAATGTGGATTATTTAGAAGATACAGATTTGTTATACCAGAGTAGTAAAGTGGTGCAGGTATGAGTCCTTAACCCGGAAAGGACTCAGCATTTTAGCATTTCCGGGTTCCCGGTCACGTTTTTTTCTTCTTTTTTTTTTTCCGGTTAAATGCCTGTCTGTGTTTAATACAATGTCAAGTTTTGTTCTACTACATAAAAAACGTAAATGAAGACTACTAAACACCATTGTGCCAAACATTAGCTAAGCGGTGTTAGCGTGAAGTCATACGATGGTCATGTAGTTTGTTTAAAGCATTACGTAAGCGGTTTGCTACTGGGGATTGCAATTGCACTTTTATAAAAGTCTTGTTAATGTGGAGATTATACTGCTGATAAAATGCGAAAGTGCGATGTCTGTGTGTCTTTTGCGAGAATGCGCATAATAAAGCTGGTTGCCAACAAGTGACTAAATGAGACTAAACGTCATCACAGCAAAACATTAGCTGCCTTTAGCTAAGAGTTGTTTATACACAGCCATGCGACAGTGATGTAGTTCGTTTATAGCCTAATGTTAGCTTTTTTCTGCCTAAAAAATGTGTGGAGTTTAACCTTTAGCTGTTGAACAGACACAAATAGCCTGTAAACGTGGGGTAATAACAGCTAGATTGATCCAATTGCAAATCCTTTTCCTTTCTTTCTACTGAGGCAGGTATTATTCAGTAAAATGACTTTGACCACTGAGACGGGAGACACAGAAAATTAGAGCTCAGTCGCCATGGAGACGCCTCAGAGCATGAACAGGCAGGGGTGGATGCTAACCTTGTTATAGCGTGGCCACAAAATGAAAGGTTATTGAATCCTTCAACAGTAGCAGACCATCCCTCTGAGCTAACAACTGGACTGTTGTGAGCAATAAGCTTCCTCCAGACAAAGAAGAAGACAGCCAGGCAGAAACAAAGATGCTGCTGTTAAATGAGCGGGTATCCCTTGAAAAAGAGATCAATGATCTCAAGGGATACACCTGGATAAATAAAGGTTTGAAATGAAATGAAAAATACCAATTTTTCAACTCAGTGTCCACAGAGCTGACATGGGGTAATGGGTTTCTATGTCCTATCATCGAGAGCCATTACAATTAATGGGATTGTAGATGCCCAGGTGAGAGGAAGGGAACATTTGAAAACAATTGATTAAAACATGCATCCATGTTCCATAGAAGGACATATTTTGTATTTAACTTTAATCCACTTTATTCTTTTTTTCCATTTTCTTCCTCCTCTATCTACTTGCTAACCCTATTGTTGGCATAATTATAGATCTGTCAATCTTATTGTCTACTTGTCTGTCTATCAAGAGGATTACAGAAAAACTATTTGTTCAATTTTCATAAAACTGGTTGGAAGGGCGAAGGGAAAGGGGTGACTTATGTTACATAACGAGATGAGTCATTTGTGTTAAACAGGTAAAATGTAATGTAAACGCAAACACTATCGTCTTGTCGAATGATCAAATAGAGACTTGACACCCGACAATATCAACATATATACCAGCACTTACTATCATTATCTTTTTAAGATGACTTATGTGGTAAGGAAATTACATTTTTAAAGTGTATGTAGAATAAGCTTTGTCATTTTGTTATTTTGGTACTACGTAGGCTTACCATTTAAATAATACAAATAAAATAACCATGACGAAGACAGGTATGCGTTTTCCAGGGGATATTTTGTTTAATTGGCAATCTGAATTGGTCATAGCCCGTTACCCATTCAGCCTATTTATGGGGGCCCTCCCACCTCACAGGGCCCAAAACAATTGCCTTGCCTGCTCTGTATATGGTGACAACTCCACATCAAAGCAGCATTGGACTTCTTGTTGATTTAATAAATAATGCAGTTTCCCTTTTATACCGTTTTTTTTAATTTTCTGTACTGCACATCATTGTTGTTCAGGGGTTGGGCTGAGTTAGAGGGAGACAACATGACAAATTGTAAACCAGGCAATGTACCTACTTTCGTTTTTAACCATAAAAACTATTTAAGAAAAAACCCTGTTTCCTACAGACTTCCAGTCATAACACTGGTCCCTTAATCTCCCACTGAAGATGGATGGTGATAGCTGAGTTAGGGAGGACCGCTCCGCCCTGCAGAGGCTCGGCTTCCTGGCTGACAACCAGTCTCTGTTGGTCACGCTCTCTCCCGCTGCAGGGGCCGGTGTGCCTAAAATAACCAGGCTGCAGCACAGCCCGAGTGGATATACATGTATAGGGAACTACTATAATTAACCCAACCCTATGTGTCTGCAACTCGAAACATCTGTCGGACTCCGGCAGCCAAAGGCCTTAGTGATTGTACAGCCAGGGCCTGGCCTCCCGTTATTGTAGGGCTGTGCGGAGGCAGAAAAGCCAGCTATAATGAAAGCTGGGATACATGGGAGAGGGCTCAGTTCTAAAGCATGCCTTAGGAATGACTGCGAGAAAACCTCAGCTGTGGTGGAGACGCTGCTTCCCCTCAGAGGAAGGATGCCGTGAATGAGTGAAGCGCATGAACTCGCTCACCCTTTTGTCGATGTCATTGTGCTGCAGCTGAACGAAGCGAGCGCTGATGGCGGCGATGTAGCTCTGCTGATTGGAGAAGGCCACGCGCCCCGCGCCCTTTGGATATTTGAGCTCCGGGTCGGTGTCGATGCCAGCGTAGCAAACACCTCCGTACAGCCGGTCCATGATCATAGCCAGCTCCACTGCAGGGAAGAAGGGAGGAGAATATGATTAAAGCTGCAGCCAGCAGTTCCTGCGAGTCCTTTTGACCACACATTGAAAGCATTCAGCCCCTCTTAAAGTGAAAGGTTTGTGATTGTTATTAAGTGATGTAAAAGTCTACCCTCCTGCACTAATCATCAGATCGGTCTCAAACTGCTGGTATAATTAGTCGGGGTCACATTGCAGCGATGTTTATCCCAAGAACAGAAAGCCTGAGCCTCCCGTTACACCATGAATTCTTTACATGACGCTTGGCCCGCTTCCTGGAAACCCAAGTAGAGGATTGCTTTCTCACAGGGGGAACTTTTCATTACAGCCTCTGTGGCCCGTGCCAGCCAACGTTATGAAACCAGCTTTTGGGGGATCGCAAGAAAAATATACTGCATTGATATTGGGTAGTTACCGGCACGAAGGGGCCGCGGCACCCCCCCCACAAAGATGGTTTTGCGGGGGTCCAGAGGCTGGGAGCCGTCCATGACAAAGTCGCTGTCGCTCAAGTTCCAGGGACGGATCTGGACCTGCAAACAGGAAGAAATGTGCTCATTGAAAGGCAAAGTGTATTATACTTTTGTTGTATTCTTTATTTCTTAGTGGTGCAATGATAACGCATATTTGTAGGCTGACATGAACAAGTTCCTCTACAAAAGCTATTGAATTTTTTCATTGGATTTCGGAATATTGCTAAAAAGAACTCTTCGGCAAACATATGATTTTGAAAAGGATCATGTTTTTTCCACACCTCCACATATCAACGCCACTTTATGATTTTTAAAGCATAAATGAAATTGCCAGAAGTATTTAGGCTATAAATAGACTAAATCACGGTCGCATCGCTGCTCATCACCACCGCTGAGCTAAAGGCGGTAAATGTTCGCAGTGATGACGTGGTCTTATTTAGCCACTTGTTAGCAACCATTTTTTTAAAGAAAAATAGAGGCTCCAGAAATTCACAAATTAGGTATTTACTGATGTATCTTATGTCGTAGAACAAAACGTGAACATCTCTTCAGCTTGGGTTAACCACAAATCCTTTTCAAGCATTTAACCAAAAACACTTAAAAAAAACATTTGTTTTGAGAGGTGCACCGGAAGTAGTTACATTCTAACTCATTCCTGCAATATATTTATCAACTTTATTCCTTTTTTAGTGAACGATTGTGAAATTAAGAATGGTTTGATTCCAATTCATTATGCAAAAATGTGTCCAAAAAACGATTGACATGAAGGACAGATTGGAAAATATGAATAATAATGTTAACACTATCTGAACAATCTACTGCTCCTTGAATGTCCGGCGCTCACCGGTTTGTCTTTGATGGTGGGACTGGACACACACAGGTACAGCTTGCCGTCCTCCTCGATGCAGGCGTCGATCAAGGCCTGGACAGAAGTCTCTTCCTGGAAGAGCAGGAAGGCATAGCCTGGAGAAAAGGGCAAATAAATACAAATATAAGGATATGTGTGGGACCCATAGTAACGTTGGGCTTATTAATGGTCTAAGAATCTACATGAATGTTCATACAGATGCATCATTCAATAGATCTGGCTCAAGCTACGTTGCAGCAATCTGCTTGTCTTCCTGTATTTTCAGGCGAGCAAAAGTGGTGAAAAAAACATTTATAAAAGTAGTGACACAGATGTATAAAGAACGTGGAAAGACCACAAACTAAACATAATGCAGATATGAGATTTATATCACATTGTTAATGTAGCGTCACCGGTTCAATGACAAGTGTCTCGTGCGTGTCCCGTGGCTAGTTGCTAAGTTGTGTATTTGTGCTAAATATGGTCAGTGAGAGCGCATGGTGGGTTAATGGCAAGCTTACTTTTCAACATTATACATTTTATGCAAGCTTGAGATGGTACACAAAGGTTTATACATGTATCATTAATTAGACCGAGCCGACAGTATGTAGCTACATTGCAGTGATGTGCTATTGTTATCTTTTAAGAACAGAAAAGCTATTTATTTCTAACTTAGGCTCAACTGCAAGTAACTTTTGTGTCCAAGTGTTAAATACAAATGAAAGATACTCTCAAACCAAAAACTTGCATTTAATAATCCTATCCTTGTGAGCATGGTGCTTAAACACTGTGCTATGCAACACTTCATAAACAGGGGAGCATTACAACAGTATCTTCATTGTCACATTCCATCAATAAGCCCAATACTTCTTTCCTTGTAATATTAATAGATTCAAACAAATGTGTCTCTACTCAGGCATGTGACCTAGTGGCCTGTTCTGTCCTCGCCTGCCTCCATAAGACCTGCAGCCTGCTTCCGATTGAAACGCCTCAGAGGGCTCTGCTACTGAAAGAGCCGTGCAAACCTTCCTGACACACTGCACATCTTCCTGAGAGTGGCTTCAGGTATAGAGACTTTGTTGATGTCTTTGAATTGCTTTCTGCCTCACACTCACTCTGTACTGTTGAATTATTTAGCATCGAGAGCAGAGACCTCATCCAAGGTCGGAGCTATTAAGCCGTTTCAGGAGGGACAAACAAAAAACTCAATAGGGGGACATCCATCACACGACGCTACGGGGGACGGCAGGCAATAGAGATCCGATTTATACCGAGAAAGGAGACGGAAACAGGAGCCGAGTCACCTTTTGACAGCCTACACCAATAAGACAAGAATAAACCTTTTCATAAAAGGTGAACAAATAGCATATCGGTGCTCCTGTGGTATTGTGCACATATTTCAATTAGGTAATACACAGTATGTGCAGTTTGGGCATACTCAACCCCTTTCTATTTAAATAAGTCTTAAAGCAAAAACAGCTGGTTAAATTAATAGAAAATAAGTAGCTTTTTTTTGCCGAAAACATTCTTCAGATTCTTCCCTCTCCATCTCAAGCAGATTAACACAGCAACATGAATAATTGCGATGAGAGGCAATAGAAAAGGGCAAATTGCTCTCATATATGGAACTTGGAATATCATCAATTGTGCAATGTCTATTTTCTGAATTGGACATTGAGACCTGGCAGATATTCGGTGCACATCATGCGCAGTTAATAGAGCCATCAGTGATCGAATCCATTCTGCAGTATCATCTCTGTGTCCAACTTCCCATCACTCAGTTTGAAGTGTCTCTGGAGACGCCTGCTTTAATAAACAAATCATTTAAATATTCCAAAAGTGCCCCAAAATAAAATTGGGGAAGCTGCTTTTATTGGAAAAGCAGCTGTGGAACATTAAAGATAAACTCAATGGACAATTCTAAACGACAGCTGGAAACGTTTTAAACATATCTTTAAATAAATATCCCCCTGCTATTGGTCTTTCTTTATTTTTGTATTCATTAATTGTATTTATTTATTTTATTGTATTATTTAATGTATTTGTTATGGGACTTTTGTCTTACATTTGTATTACATGCTACTTTATACTTTTATTCCACTACAAAATATTTAAAATGAGCTCCACCTTTTTCCAGCTGTAATGAACACAATATTGCATCACTATTCGTATTCCACTAATCTAATATATATCATTTTTCATTTTACTGGCAAAGAGGAATGGGCATCTGTCATGGTTCACTAGAGCATTCCTGAGTGGAGCTGCTGCAGAGGAGAGTCGAAAAAGAGCTGAGTCGGCAGAGCCAGTCAGCTGTGGTATGTGCACGAGTGAGAGTGTGCTGCTGGAAATAGGGAGGGGAAAAAGAAAAAGGCATCAAAGGGGAAATGAAAAAAAAACAGGTGCGTAAGCAGCCGTATGTGTCCTTAACAGTTGCTGCTCTGAAAGCGGCTTCTGTCTGTGTGACGTGTCACCTGATGCATGTGACATGTCCTCTGTCAGTGACAGGACAAGTGTCTTTCTCACATTTGTGTCTACGGTAAATCAACCGAAAACCCATGAGGTACAAAAAATGTCACATCTGATGATTTCTACTGGAATAAAACCATGCATGTGCATAAAGGGCATTGCAAATGGCACACATCCACCAAACACAGAAACTAATCTGAATAAATCCAGTTATCAGTTTTTCAGGTTTGTTCTTCTTTAAAGCCCCTGTCACACTGTCCCGAAATTGACACCCGATGGACACACGAATATGGAATTGTGAATTTCGCACGAAGATGGCCCCGAACCACACACGAAGGCAACATTTACATTACATTTAAGACATACAACTGCAACGAAAGTAACACAAACAATTATGTTAAAGTATTATGATACTGTACTGATATTTTCAGACTGTTCTTTACTTTATCCGTCTTTATATGTAGAAGATATTAAGTTTTCCCCGTCATGTTGTTTCCATAGCAACAACAACTTCCTCGCCTTCAAAATAATATATTATATCCTTTTTAGTTTCACAGAACACAAATCGGGTTATTTACATAATATGTTTACATGATTTTGTTGTGCAATAAAACAACCAGATGGACACACGATAAAGGAAATGTTCAAATTCAGACAA